ACAAACTACAGTTACTACGCTACTACATATAACCACAATTCCCATAACCGCCCCAGCCAACTGAAGGCTTGTGCTGTCCATTTATCCATTTGGTTATTCTCCTGGAGGGGGTGAAAAGTTAGTGGGGTCTTCTGGAGTGACCTGCTCAGCAACGGAATATCAGAATCAAGCCAACCCTCTGTGACAGTCTCTAGTCCGGTTCCTGAGCAAAATGGGTCCCCAATACTAGGGCACTACTGATAACAGCCCAGCCCAGCCCGACTCATCAGCAGGACTTGTGGGGGCAGACTAGTCACCAGGAATAGGGACTCTTCCCCCACTCAGCTCCTATTAACCCTGCAAGCAAATGTCCTAACTAGTAGGATGGTCCTAGCTGCACAAGCAGCAGGAAAGCTTGCCAGACGTGCTATCAATGGCAAGCTGTGGTTTTAGCTGGTTAGACTCCCAATGGTTAACCCAACGCACGCTCTAAGGTCCCCAAGCTTTGGCTCTTGCCAACCTGCATCTAATACTTTTTAGAATTGGTTTAGTAGGGTACATCCCTCCAGGGAGAGAGTGCGATTTCTGTTCCAGATACAGCAAAATTTTCATGTGTAGATGGCGTGCGTATATGGAACTCTCAACAACAACAAGATTTCATTTATAGAGCGCCTTTCACGTCGGGAGGACGTCCCAAGGCGCTGGACAGTTGGGTCGGGACCCGAGCAGGGGGGAAATGGTCAGAGTGAGGGGAGGGAAGGGAGGAAGCGAGGAGGGGGTAGAGAGTCGCGAGGGGAGCTGAAGGCACGGTCGAAGAGAAAGGTCTTGAGACCGGCCTTGAAGGAGGAAAGGGAGGAAGCAAGGTGGAGGCACTGTGGGGGATAGAGTTCCAGAGCATAGGGGCTGAGAGGCTGAAGGCCTGGCCACCGATGGTGGGGCGGTTGGGGCGGGGGACGTGGAGCAGACCGGAGCCAGAGGAACGGAGAGTATGGGCAGGTAAGTAGGGGGATAGTAGGTCGAAGAGGTAGGAGGGAGCAAGGCCGTGAATGGCCTTGTAGGTGAGGATGAGGATCTTGAATTCGATCCTCTGGAGGATGGGGAGCCAGTGGAGGCAAGCGAGGGTGGGAGTGATGTGGTCGCGAAGCCTGGTGCGGGACAGTACACGAACTGCAGAGTTCTGAATGACCTGCAGCTTGTGGAGGGAGGTGCCGGGAAGGCCGGCGAGGAGAGAGTTCCCATAGTCCAGCCTTGAGGTGATAAAGGCGTGGACCAGTGTTTTAGCAGCGTGAGGGATGAGGTAGTGCCGTAGTCTGGCGATATTCCGGAGGTGATGGAAGGCGGTGCCAGTTGTGGTGCGGATATGAGGAAGAAAGGATAGCTCAGGGTCGAACAGAACGCCGAGGTTCCTGACTGGCTTTGAGAGTCTGGTTGGAGACTCTCAAACATGGTGATGGGTTTCCCCGTGTATCATATGCATGTATTTGGAGTGTAGTTGGTACTCTGTTTATAGTGAAGGTGAACACGTTTTGATATCAGTAATATAGAAATTGCCGGCCCAAGCAGCCGATGGCACCCTGGGAGCGAGAGATAGTGTTGGATCTGTGAAGAGATGTGATTGTAAATCAGAACGATTGGTAGCTACCCCTCTGTCTAAACCCTTAAATATGTTGACTTGCCCAGAGCGGCTTCAGCCAACCATCACCACTTAGACTCACCACTTGCTGCCTCCTGGGGCCACCTCGTCTTAACGTATGAAACCATCTTATCTCGACATTTATACAATACACTTCACATTTATATGTAAATATATGGAGTGGCTCATTGTTGGAGGTGCTGTCTTTTGGATGAGACATTAAACTGAGATCCCGTCAGTGCCTGTTCAGGTGGATGTCCCACGACACGATTCAAAAAGTGAAGGAAGTTTCTCTCTCCTGGTGTCCTGGCTGACAACCCCCCAAATAAAATTGGTCATTCATTTCATGGCTATTTGTGGGACATTGCTGAATGCAAATTGGCTGCTGCTTTTGTCCACAAAGTCACGGTAAAATCCTGTGAAGTACTTTGAGACTTCTCAACAACCTGATAAGGCATAATATGGAAAAGCGAGGATTATTATTTATCAGATTGAATAAAATGTTGGAACAGTCTCGAAGGGTTGAATGGCCCTCCTGCTTCTGTTTTTCCGATGCCAGGATCTCTTTCGTGTTAATCTGGTGAGGACGTCCCTCTGCAATGTAATTTGTGACCTCCTGCCCGTGTTCATTTGTTAGCTCCGAGCAAAACCCATTACCTAACATTGGAAAATGTGTCATATTGCGGGCATCAGCAAGTTCTGCTGAAGCAGGAAGGTAGCCACGGCCAATTAACCATAGTCTACAGAGCAGGCAATTCTGTCAGACCTTATGAGGGCATCCAAAGAGCTCTGTCTTCCAGTCCCAGTTGGTTGAGGCAACAATTGCCTAACAAGCCTTAGGCTGCTCATTCTGCAACACTGGAGAAACTCATCGAATCTGATTTTACCCAAGGGCAGTGGCAAGTGGGCTGCAACCTCAGTTACCCACTCTCATAGGTGAGATATTCCACTCACCAACTCATGATCAGCCCAGCTCAACACCAGCTCAGCCCAGCACCAGCTCAGCCCAGCACCCTCCTACCTCAGCCCAGCACCAGCTCAACCCAGCAGCCTCCTACCCCAGCCCAGCACCCTCCTACCTCAGCCCAGCAGCCTCCTACAGCCCAGCACCCTCCTACCTCAGCTCACCACCCTCCTACCTCAGCCCAGCAGCATCCTACCTCAGACTTGCACCCTCCGACCTCACCCTCGCACCCATCACAGTTGAGGTGGAGGGTGTGGGGGTTGAGGTGCAGGGGAGGAGGTTGTAGATTGTCTAATGTTCGGGTAGTTCAGGTTACAGTAAGCTCGTTGTGTGCACTGTAGGTGCTGGATTTGAGTCTGAGACGTGACTGAATGCAGTTTGTAGCTTGAGGCCATCGCTATGTAAAGATCACTAATGAAAGTTAGCTAATGCAGTCATGCTGGGACCCTGTGTGCCTCCGCGTGTGTGTGCCTGACTCATTGTGCACTGAAATGACAAACTTCCTCTGCTGTTGTTGCTTCATTAGCCTCTCGGCTGCTGGACAGATACATTTGTTGTGTTCGCCTCAATGCAGACAGCAGACAAAGTGACAGCAGACAAAGTGAGTCTCAGAGACTCTTGTTGATAATAGGGTCTGATGGACTCTTCTCTTCCCCTGTGTTTGGTGACACTGGCAGGCTGGCATTTACTGCTTGTCATTTGTTGAGTTGAGTCGCTTCACAAGGTACAGTCAGGGTTAGAGATTAGGGGAGAGTCAGATGTGACTGGAGAACGGACGACTTAGCGACAGAGAGGGAAAGATACACTTCAAAAGAGACAGTTTTTTGTTGGTGATCAAGGAGAATGACACATGCAGAAACCCAGCACTGTGCTGAAGTCTACAGCATTCCACTTGTGTAAGCCACATTCACATGAAAAATGGATTGCGCACTCTGTCCCCAGTAGTGTCTCGGAGTGCAGCACAGTGGTGAGTTTAGAAACTGAGCAAGGGATGTCCTGGCCAACAACCCTCCAAATAAAATGGTTGTTCATTTCATGGCTATTTGTGGGACATTGCCGTACTCAGATTGGCTGTCACGTTTGCCCACAAATACACTCCCAACAACAACGTAGCTTGCATTCATATTGCGCCCTTCATGCAGGGTAGCATAAAGATGAAATTCTTTGAAGCACCTTGGGACGTCCTCCAGACATGAAATGCAAGGATTATTATTATTATTATATAAGTAAAGGGCGAGACTCGGAGAGAATCAGTAATGGAGTTGGATACAGAGATAGAGAGGGACACCAGAGATAGGGAGAGAGTTAGAGAGTGCATTTTAAGAAATTATAAAACCAGTTTCAGTTCAGATTGAATGCAAACATTTTCCAAATTATGGACACTCGGAAATGCTATATACATAGAGTGAATCCATACATGTGTGCAATTTTACCTTGTGCTTTCAGCTGTTGAGTATTGTGTGAGATCCCCATTAATCCCTCAGAGGTGCTAAACCAAGCTCCTGTCTGTGCCTGTTCAAGTGGATATTAAGGCAGCATTATTGAAAAAGAAAGGAGTTTCTCTCTCCCACTCACTGGCTAACAATCCCCCAAATAAAATTGGTCATTCACTTCTTGGCTGTTTATGGGACATTTCTGGGAGCAAATTGGCAGCCACGATTCGCCCACAAAATACGGTCACTCTGCAGCAAGTCCTGTGAAGTGCTTTGAGACGTCAAACGCAAAGATTATTCTATGTTATAATAATATAATAATCCTTGCGTGTGAGCCTTATCACGTCGTCTAGACTTCTAAAAGCACTTCACAGAATATACTAAATATATATTAACTATGTTTTGTGGGCAAAACGCAGTATTCAATTACGCACAGCAGTGTCCTACAAACAGTCGTGGATTAAGTGACCAAATTATTATTTTTTTAAGGAATTATTACCACTGGAAACGCGATCTGCCAATCAGTGAACAACCGGGTTCCTACTTCCTGCTAGGTAAACAGAGGCGTGCGGAGTAAGGAAATTTTCCCAGGAATCGAACCTATGTCCTCTCGTTTGCGAGGCGAGTGCCTTTACCATTAAACTACAGCACTCCACAGGATCTTATGTTAATCTGGCTTGATATTTTATTTCAATCATGATAAATTCACTCGCTGCTCACTCAGGACTTCCACGAGATGACTTTGGTTCCCAAACAAAATTAGACCCTTGGGTTATGCAAAAAAAATACAGCCCAAAGTGGAGTGGTGTCCTTTATATGCTCTGCTTGCAGACAGAAATCACTTCAAGCCTGTGTCTTTGCAGCTCAATCAGTTCACGCTCCATTTGATCGTAGGCATGAATTTGCTTTGCACACTTGGTTGGGTTCGGATTTTCCACGGTTTATTGGATCTCAATTAAAAAACGTTGCCTTTCTGTTCTTCTTCCCGCAGATGTACATTCAGACGACGACGCTCACTATCTCGATGAGCTTAAGTGCGTCTGTGTCTGTGGGCATGCTCTACATGCCCAAGGTTTACATTATCATCTTTCACCCCGAGCAAAATGTACAAAAACGTAAACGCAGTTTCAAAGCCGTTGTGACAGCAGCAACAATGTCCAACAAGCTGACGCAGAAAGTGGCCGGCCGGCCCAATGGAGAGGTCAAGACCGAGCTCTGTGAGAGCCTTGACACCACCAGTAAGTAACTTCACTCTTGTGGCTCATGCGCGTACAACAAAGCTGTGAACAAACAGAATGGGGCGCCTGCCTCACCCTTTTTACACCTGCACTCCATCACCTGGTTAGAAATGAGGTACAGCTGAGGAGAGCGACTAGGTTGAACCCCAGTGTTAGAGGTAGAGCAGAGGAGAGCGAGGGGGCTGATCCACAGTGTTAGAGGCAAAGCAGAGGAGAGTGGCGAGGCTGAACCCCAGTCTTAGAGGTAGTGCAGAGAAAAGTGACAAGGATGTTAATCAATGTTAGATTCAGTGCAAAGGAGAGCGACAGGACTGATCTCTAGTGTTTACAACAACAACAAATTGCACTTATAACCTTTCAGTCTGGAGAACAGCCCAAGGCACTGGACAGTGAAGGGTTTGCATCTGAGCTGGGGTTTGGAGTCAAGAGGGGTGGATGGCAAAGGGGGTGGTGGAGGTGAGAGGACAATCAAAGGCAAGATCAAAGAGGAAGGACTTGACACTGGCCTTCAAGGTGGTGAGGGAGGGGGCAAGGCGGAGGAGCTCCAGGATGGAATTCCAGAGGATGGAAGAAGGCCGAAGGCTCAACCACTGATGGTGGAACAGTGTGGGGGATAATGAGCAGGCCAGTGCCCACTGAGCGGAGGGAGCAGGAAGGTTAAGTAGGTTGCAGAGGTAGGAGGAGGAAGACCGTGGAGGAATTTAAAAGTGAGGACGAAGATCTTGAACTCAATCGTGTACGGGATGGGGAGCTGTGGAGCCGGGTGAGGACAGGCATATGGAGCTTGGTGAGGGAGATGACATGAGCTGGCATATGAATAATCTGCATCTTATGGAGGGAAGAGTTGGGAAGTCCGGCAAGCAGGGAGTTAGCAATTTGGCTGATCTAGATCACTCTGCCGTAAGATAAATTAACGGCACCTCTTTTTCTCTAAATTTCTAAGTACTCTTACTTACAAAGGGGTGAGGAAAGCACGGTCTTCTTGGAGCTCAGCCAGCTCCTACTTGACACTTGGGTCTGGAATGTGGAAATCAAATCCACCATCTCTTTATTCCCATCCTGAGCCAGGAAGGTCCATAGTACTCCAGGGCACTATAGCTGACAGCCTAGCCTGGCTCGTCAGTGGTACTTGGAGGGTCAGACCAATCACTGGGGAAGGGATTCTTCCCACTCAGCTCCTGTTAACCCTGCAAACCTAATGGGCTGGGGTGATCTGAGATTGACAAGCAGTGTACTATACACTCAATAGCACTCTATGAGGTTTTAGCTAGTTATTGTCCAGCAACTTCCTCAACGCACACTTTGGGGTCACTAAGACTCTTGCTAACCTGCGCCTAATACTATCTGCAGCTGGATTCAGCCCTCCAGGAAGAGAGTGCATATCCCATTCCAGATGTGAGGAAATTTCAACATGTAGGTGACATACATATGTGGAACTCCCATCGGTTCGTATACTCTTAACCAAGACAATAATAATAATCCTTACATTGATACAGCGCTTTTCACATCTTCTAGACATCTCAAAGCGCTTCACAGAATATACTGTGAAATGAATTGACTGTATATTTGTGGGCGAAACGCGGCAGCCAATTGCACACAGCAGTGTCCCATAAACAGTCGTGGTTTGGAGTAACCAAGCTGATTTTTTTTTCTTGAGGGATTATTATCAGGCGTGTGGAGTAAGCAAACTTGCCCAAGGTTGCACCCTGCCGGGAATCGAACCCAGGTCTCTTGCTTTTGTGACGAGTGCTCTAACCACTGAGCTACAGGACCCCTAATGGATAATGGGTTTCTGCAGATGTCAGATATCCGTGTGAACAATAAAGCATCCAGATTATCAATCCATCTGCACTTGAGCTGATTCTACTCTTACGACTTGCTGGAGGCAGTGACAGGTCCACATTCTGACCGCCATTTTGAGTTAGCTGAGCTCAGATCTTTCCATTGTCCACCATCTTGAGTGCAGAGTGAATCAATCAATGGTGAAGGAACTGGCTTTGGGGCCAGACATCGTGGACATTAAATACTTTTGTGGAGTCCATGTGTTTAGCCTATGGTTTGCATATAGTTTCCATGTGGTTAACACATAGTTTGCACACAGTTTGCACATGAGTCTGCCCATCATCTGCAGTATCCTTTACCTTTTCATGTCAGCCTGGTTTAATGGGTAGCACTCTCGCCTCCAAGTTGCGGGTTGAAGCCCTTCATTACCATCCAGGCTGATGTTTTAGTACAGTGCTGGGGAAGCATTGGAACTACCGTCCTTCGGATGAGACGTTAAACCGAGTTCCCATCCACTTGTTCAGGTGAATATTAAAGATCCCACAGCACTTTTGGAAAAGAGAAGGAAGTTTCTCTCTCCTGGTGTCCTGGCCAACATTCCCCCAAATACAATTGGTCATTAACTTCATGTCTGTTCACAGGAAGTTGCTGTATGTAAATTGGCTGCCTGTTTATTTAAAAAATACAGTCATTGCACTTTACTATACATCCTGCTTTGAGACATCTCAAGGTACTGTATCAAATGCACAGATTCTGATTATTACTATATATGGCGATCTCATTGCCGGTCAGCAGTGGGTCCTACGAGCTTGCAGAATAATTGCTGAACTCTGGTTTTGTTGATCATTCCTCCAGCTGCTTCTTCCACCAAGACGTCTTACGTCAACTACAGCAACCACTCAAACTGACCCAGCAACAGGTGATGTGCCCCAGACCTGGTCTAACCAGACTGCACACACCAAATTTGAGTTCTGGAGTCCTCGCATTCGGAGAGCGGGTCAGAAGGTGCGACCCAGCATGAGGCTGCAACAGGAACCGTCGATCCTTACCCTTCCCTTTCCTCTTGGACCACCCGCTCAAAAACATGTCCGGCGTAGGGGCTCAGATCCCAAGCCTGACTTGGAACGACAGACACAGATCACTGTGCGATCTTCCATTCATTCCTTTTTATTGTCAAGAGAATGCCAGCAATGGGGGTGGGGGGTGGGATGACCATACTCGTCGTGCTGTTTATTGAACTTGTGTTTGTGAGAATTTCCGTTTCCCGTCCAACCTGAATGCAAGGCATTTCTCCCATTCCCTCACCCACCCACCAATCCAACCACATTCCCCCTTCACACCCTGCCCAAGGCAAAGTGTCCATTGTTGTTCTGACTGACTGAGTATTACAACTCTTTGGGACACAGCCACAGCCAAGGTTAATGCACGAGAATCAAGCATGTGCACATTTTCTACAAGTGGTTTCTTTGTAATAAAGGAGTGCGTAACTTTTCTCTTTTCCCTTTCGTTGGCAAAAAAAAATTTCAGAGTATTTTCGGTTGCGGGTACAAATCGTAGGTCAATGTGCAATGTGTTCAAATGTTCATAAATTTGGGGGAGTGGGAAGGGGTGGACGAAACACCCACCTAATTGTTGGAAGCTGTGATGTAGTTTGTAAACTCAGTCACACCACACGGTCCCATTGTTGATGTTCAAGTGCTCGCCAATCTTCAGCAGCGTGTCTTGAAAGTGCTGTCGTTGGTTTTTCTTGGCAAGTTCAGCATTTCAGTGGTTCTGTGATTGTTTTCTTGAATTTAAGATGTTGCTTGATCTCTGGCCGCGCTCCTGGTGAATCTCTACCATTCGGTGCCTGGCCCGTCTGCTGTGCCAGGCTGTACCAGGCTGCTGTAGTGTGGTAACCTCACGGTCAGGAGTTTGTGGGCTCCTGTTTCCGTGCTCTGACCTGACCCGAGCTGTGCTCCCAAGTCCAGAGTGACCCTTCCCTTGTTGGAGGTGAAGGTCCAGAAGTGAAGATTCCCACACATCTGTTTGGTGCAGAGGGCCTTCCGATCTTCCGATCAAATTCAATACCTTGACTCAATTGCAGATCTCAGAGGATCGGGCTTGACAGGTGTGGGTCTCGGCATGTACAGGCGAAGCTATTCAGTCCATCCAGCCTGTTCCTCCAGTCTATCAGATCATGGCAGATATTTTAACCATGTTTCCCCGACTTTAACCCTTCCCCTTGAACACCCTGATTTGCTGAGTGTCTGTCCAATACCCTTTAATACATCTCGGGTGGAACGTGCATCCTGAAACCTTTGCTCCCGCCAACTGTGACCCGTCTCTGTTCTGACACAATCTCAAGCTTGGTAGTTTGAGCGATGGAGTCAGTGCAGCCTTCGGTGTTCCCGGACAGAAGACGATATTTCCGAGTGGGAATTGACAGCTCATTTCGGAAACTCGAAGCTGGTGACTGGTGCTGGAATTTAAATGGCTGCAATTTGAATTTCCCTTCACAGTGTGTTTCCCCCACCCATGCCCCAACACCCACCATGAATGAGCTCAACACAACCACAAATCGGAACAAATCAGGTCGCACAAAGAGGATCTGATCTGAGCTGTGTTTGGAAGGTGTGGATGTTGGGGGCTGTTGCTTCACTTACATAGTGCAGCAACTGTCCAAATCCATTTGTCTATCCATGGGCCCCATCCACTTGCAAAGAGTAAGCAATTCTCACCCCCTCGCCTCCCCACTCCCACCGTGATTGAGGATGTTGATGTCGTGTGTTTAAGAATGTTTCGATGAGTTTATCTGACATGGTTTTTTTGGTGTATTTATCTGGTATTTTTTTATTAACTAAAAGTTATTGAATTTTTATGATTGTCTCTTGTTTCCATCTCTTGGCTTCGCAAAGAAAAAGGTGAGCACATGCATGGTGCTGCCGTGCGCTCAATGAAACATGGTGCACACTCATGTTTAAGCACTCTGACACGCTACCCCGCTTGAAAGGTGCTGTGTAAATGCAAGCTGCTGTTGTTAGGCTGCATGCAAGAGATCTGAGATCCCTGGTCTTTCCTGAGTAATGGGTTCCCCCCCACACCCCCTCCCTGAGTCCATTATCAACTGGGAGCAGCCAGCGGTGCAGGACTGGAGCCTAGCCTGGGATTCCTAGGTTTGTACGGCTCACTCTACACTAGGACATTACTAACTAAGCCATTTCAATGCTGCTAATGTGACTAACTGGGAACCTGCGTCTGGTGTATTAACCCGGTCCAGGACAGAGCTTCCATTTATAGCAGAGATGCTTCTCCTCAGTCATCGGGGCCACCTCCTCTCCCTCCAGTGTGGGTAAGCAGACAGTGTGGATAATTGGATTGGTTGCAGCGCCAACTAAACACTTCCATTAGGAGTTATACTGTCACTCTATACACACACCACTGTGGGGGTTCTCTCTTTGTCACTTCCTCTCCCATTCTGCCTTTTCCTGTCTCATTCCTTTCCTTTCACTCTGCCGCGTTCTCTCTCTCTCTATCTCTCTCCCCGAGTCTCTCTCTGTTTCCTTCTAACTTTCTCTCTCTCTCTTTCTTTCTCTGACTCTTACTCTTTCACTGATCAAAAATGGTCAGGAGATGGTAAAGAATACAAGTTAACACAGACAAAGAACAAGATGGTATGAGTGATGGTGTGGGATGGGGAGAGGGCAGTTTCATTGGAAGCGGCACTTCTGGAGAAATGTTTCAGAGAGAAACAAACATTTGAGAGACTTGAAGTATCAAAGGAGTGAATTGGGCTATATTCACTCTGCCTGACGGGCAGTGACTTTGAAGGGACGTCTCTGAGAAGACGAGAATATCCAAATGTGGATGAAACCAGGACGGCATCTGTGATGGAAGTCAGAAGATCAACTGCCCGAGGAGCCGTGGGTGAGGTAAGGTAAGTTGTCTGCTTTTGCTATTTGCATTAGTGAGGTGAAGATGAAGCGTTAGTGAGGTGCATGGGAAGTGTTGGTAAGGGAACAGAGACATGTTTCTTAAACCTGTTTTTCTACTGCCTACTTCCGATTCAGAACATCAGAACAGGAGTAGACCATTCCACAACAGCAACAACAACTTGCATTTCCATAGCGCCCTTCATGAGTGGTAGCATCCCGGAATGCTTGACAGTGGTGGTCAAGGCTCAGCCCCTCGAGCCTCTTCTGCCATTCTGTTGGATCATGGTTGATCTGTACCTCAACTCCATTTATCCACCTTTGCTATCAACCTCGTCTTGAAAATTTCAATTGATTCAGCATCCATGGCCTTTTGGGGAAGGGAGTTCTATATTTCCACTACCCTTTGTGTGAAAATGAGGTCTGTCTGCCCGTTTAAGTGGATTCTACACCAAGTGAGTGTCATGAATGGGGCAACAGGCCCAGGCTCGAGCCCCGCTCCTGACACTGTCTGGAGGTGGCAGCACCAGGAGTGGAGAGATTTCTGGCGTGGAATGCGCTCAATGCCAGACCCAAATTGCTCTGCAGCCAGACCCACACGACAGGCACTGGTCTGCTTTAACCCTGTCCTGCCTAACTCATTATCAGCAGTCACGCTTTCCACCAATCTGCCCCCAACTCTCTGGAACTCCATCCTGGTGTCCCTCCAACTCATTCTTTCTCTCACCTTGTTCAACTTCAGTCTAAAGACCTTCCTCTTTGATTGTGCCATTGGTTATCTGTCCCCTCTCCACCCCCTTTCGCTCCTAGGCCCAGCTCTGGTGCTGAACCCGGATTATTAAGCACCTTGGGGCGTCCGATCGATGTGAAAGGCACAATATAAACATAAATTTACGTACAATGAGTTATCAACAAGGTGATCGTGCGATTGATTTTGAATATTGAAAAGTATTGTTTGCCTCAGTTATGATTCTCGGCTCCGGATCAAACATTGAAACTCACAGACCAGGTCAATGTTCCAGTGAGGTACTGGGGCAGAACTGCATTGTTTAAGATCCTGACCTTGGGTTGAGATTGTCTGTGCCTGTTCAGGTGGACGTTAAAGATCCTGTGAAACTATTCTAAAAGGGAAAGCAGTTTCTCCTGGTGTCCTGGCCGACAATGAGCCAAATTTAAAAAAAAATTCACTTCATGGCTGTTTGTAGGCATTGCTCTGCACAAAATCGACTGCCACGTTCATCTGGAACATACACAGTCACTACACTTACTGGCCAGCACTGATGTCCACTGACCAGTCCTGACCTCCCCTGACCAGCCCTCCCGTGATGCCCCCCAACCTAGCATTTTATTAGAAGTCTTTTGACAGAGGGTTGACGTCTGAAAGTTACACAATGGGTGGTGAGTATAAAGGTCCATTACCAGCTGATTTGCTTTCCTGCAGTGAGGATGTTGATTGAAAAGTAGAATTACATTTTCTGCACAGAAGGGAACCCATTTGGCCATTGTTTCTGTGCCGCTCAGCTCCAGTTCTCTCTTCCCATGATCATTGGCGGGCAATGAGGGTAGGCACTAAGTGCAGTCAGGCTAGAAGAAAGGCTTTTCGTTTGCTGGGCAAAAGTTTCTTCACTAAATTTCTGCTCTGCTGCTTACAATCAGTGAGAGAGCTCATGTCACCTCCTGGGTCTACTTTCTTCACGGCAATAATAGGCGTCAAACAGGCTCAGTCGGTCAAGGTCTCATCTCGTCAGTCAGGCGATTGTAGGAATTTGAGCTCGCAGTCCTGGCTGATACACCAGTGCAAAGGTAGGGAAATGCTGCATTATCCTTCGGATGAGATATCAGATCGAGATCTGTCTGCCTGTTCAGGTGGAATAAAGAACCCCTTGGCACAATGTGAAAGGCACTGTTTCAGATGTAAAGATTATTATTCAGACTGCCCTACTCTTGAATTCAAATCACTCAGAAATCCAAAATTAGAATGGGTTACGTCTAAGTGTAGTATAAGTGATGGCATCAGAGGCAGCCGGTCTACAAACAGTAGAGAGGCGAGGGCACCGATTGATCT